AAATCCTATGTGACAATTCAAATTGTGATTACCTCACAATCTGATTCAAATATTTTGTGTATCAATTCAGATTCAAAATGGCAGACTGGTTCCTGAACTATATCATTAACATGCTTTCATCAATCATTAACGTTTTCACAACAAATTCACAAAATAGTTCTGTTTATAGTCTGCATCTTCAGAAGATTGGGACAAAAATAGCCAAATTTTTGGGGTAGAAACTGAAAATTGACTAAATTTTTGTTTGTTAGCTCCAAAATTAAAGTTCATTTCCAGAAATATTGAAGAATATAAGAGAAAATTGCAGAAAAATTTAAGCAAGAAAATCTGGTGGTGAAAATATTAAAATTTCTACATACATCACCTTGCACATATGCACACTTATTGGTTTGTAATCATTCTCAAGAATCAAGCATTCTTGTCATTCTGCAACTGAAGTACACAATGGGAGTCGTTGCGTAATCTTTTCTCATGTACTTCCCAACAGATTTCAATGAAACTTGATACATAGATGCTCTGGGATAATGTGCAGACTTGATTAGTTTTTAGTCAAAATCTGTTTACCGATACTTAATTAGCATATTAAGGATGTAGTAGACATAACAGTCACTATTTTATACATTTTTTTGTTATTTGTCTATTTTGGTGGCATTTGTCTATCTGCATGCAATGGATGTGTTTCCCACTCAAAATATTAACCAGTAAACCCAAAAAAGGAATTTTTAACAAAAAAGTTAGGATATGTGTTTATAACAGCAGACCGCTCACTTTGATTTCAGGATAATTGCCTTTGCGTGCAAACAATAAATATTGACCTAATTTGCATAAGTTGGCCTATTTAGCAACGGAAACAACGCACACACGCCCTGTCTCTGTGATCATTCTATATTAGTACACCATGTGTGACACATCCAAAAATTAGCGCTCCTTAAAATTGTTATCAGAATTATTATTAGAAATGAAGAGAAGGAAAAGACCAAAAAGGAAGAATATGACTCAAATGTCCGAAGAAGCAAAACTTCGTCTCCCAAAAAAAAATACATTGATCGTGGTATGAGTCCAGCGAAAGTTCGGACTCCGACGATACTGCTGTGACAGTGCAACATTATCTACATGTAGCTCAGACATTGACGAACTAGAAGAAATGCCAAAAAGTGCATCAGAAAGGGAATTATCATCGCATGGTGACGATGATAAAATGGCTGACACAGATGGATCGCTGAGACTGATCGATGTCTACATTTTAAATAGCGAACTTTTTTGGCGATTGCGGATATTAATTCTGACCTAGCCGATTGTTCCAATCATAGCTGGTTGTCGTAGTGGTTAACTTCTGAAAGCAGTTTTTTTCGGCCATGCATATTGTTATTATTTGTATACGATCAATGCTTCTCAAGAAAATGATCGTTGCAAATGATGACCCAAATCAAGAAACGTGTCAATCACCTCACTTTTTATACGGAGCGTCTCCGCCCAATTTTCAGAGCTGAACTGTACTGCATGTTTACTTCCTGTATACCAGACAGGGTTATTTTTTTCACAGGCCGGCTTTGGGTATGGCAAGGTACTTTTTTTTCACACGTTGTCCCCAACGACAAATTATTTATCACAATTAAATTTTAATATCCATTAGGAAACTGAGATATAAAAACAATTGAATAATCGTTACGCCAGTCCAGGGTGCCGCTCGAGCGAACAGCGAAGCACATGCTATGTCGGACCAGAGGGACCAAGCTGATTTAATCTCTCGTCTTTGGCTACCATGCCTGCATCTACAGCGAACATTTTCTATTTCTATTTTATTTTATATATTTTTATTTTTCTAAGGATATGATCGCTGTCAGCAACTTAGACATTGTGTCGAAAACATGCGGCGATTCAAACTGATCACAGTTGGCCTACATTAAAAATTGCAGTAGCTGCCACAATAAACTCAGTCGTGCGGTTCCCGGTTACTAAAGGAAGTAACCATAATCTCTCACTTATGTCCAGTCAATAAACAACTATTGTATGTGCAAAGGATTACGTAATTTATTTTTTGTAACTGTCATAAAATTAACGCAACACGCTGGGCAAAAATCTTGTCACCCGATTGGATGGGACACCCTGTGGTTAACATTACGATGTTTGTTACTCATCTAACTAGTTCCAGTTTCGTGCAGTACTCATTTTTTCAATTAAAATTTTTTGATTGTTTATTTAGCAGTCACATGACTATAATTAGATCAAAAATGACCAAGAAATTCAGGAAGTGTGAAACAAAAGCTTTAATAAAATATATAGTTTACTATATTTCAAGACAATTCTCATATGAAAATATCAAGCCTAATTCTAACATCCCTGTTAAGTCTACTACATCCTTAATTAGCCAATTTTAAGTATTTTCATTTGCTTCTCATATACCAAAAAATATTTCTATGAAATATTGTATATAGATGCTCTGTGATAATGCGCAGATCTGATTAATTTTTGGTTTCAATCCCCATTTATAACAATGACTTAATTTGCATATTAATTAGCCATGATTAACACAAATATTACAACCACCCATCAAATTCAATGTAACTTGGTACATAGGTTTACTAATTATTTATATGGCTGACTTTTTAAAAGAATTGTAGAAACATTTAGATATGCAGATTTATTTTGTGTCAGTGACAAAATTGCTATTTTAAGTATTTTAAACTCGCAGGTTAGAGAGCGGGAGTTGCAGGATAACTTACAACTACGAAAAAGACAAGAAGAGATTAAAGTGTATGAAACACAGATTAATGAATTGAAAGAAAATTTGGAAGGATATGACTATCGATCACTGAGAAAAGAAAAGACTAAACTACACAATGAACAAGAAGAACTACAGCGACAGGTTTGTAATTTTGTATCACTTGCTGACCCAAATCTATATTTCACTGGCCCTAACCAAAATATCTCACAAACTAAATCTTGGGTTCAAAATTATATTGATAAATTATGATATTATTAATGAGGAAAGTTCTTCTTGAATGAAACCACTAATGAGTCTTCTCAGCTTTATCCAAACCATCAAAATATTGCCAAACTCTGTTCAAATAATGTTGTCAAGCTTTGAGGTGTTCAATTTAATATTGTCAAACTTTGAGGTGTTCAATTTAATATTGCCAAACTCTGAGGTGTTCAATTTAATATTGCCAAACTCTGAGGTGTTCATAGAATGTTGTCGAACTTCGAGGTGTTCAATTTAATATTGCCAAATTCTGTGGTGTTCAATTTAATATTGCCAAACTTTTAGGTGTTCAATTTAACATTGTCAAACTTTGAGGTGTTCAATTTAATATTGCCAAACTTTGTGGTGTTCAATTTAAATTCGCCGAACTTTGTGGTGTTCAATTCAATATTTCCAAACTCTGAGGTGTTCAATTTAATATTGCCAAATTCTGTGGTGTTCAATTTAATATTGCCAAACTTTGTGGTGTTCAATTTAATTTTGCCAAACTTTTAGGTGTTCAATTTAATATTGCCAAACTCTGAGGTGTTCAATTTAATATTGTCAAACTCTGAGGTGTTCATAGAATGTTGTCAAACTCTGAGGTGTTCATAAAATGTTGTCGAACTTTGAGGTGTTCAATTTAATAATGTCGAACTCTGAGGTGTTCAATTTAATATTGTCAAACACTGCGGTGTTCAATTTAATATTGTC